CTTCATCACTTGTAGTTTTCTCCCCCTGTAATATGCACATTAACTCAATAAAACTACCCATGAAGCTTAATTAAGAAAGATAAACAACATATATCAATATGTGAATATCAATGTATATGTCTCCCCCTCAATTCTAGAAAGTTTCCCCCTCAAATATGCACATTTCTTCCCCTTTATGTTACAAATTGACAAATAAAGCATAACAAAGAAGGAAAAGAAATAATAAGAGAGAATTATTAAGAAAAAATAGATCAAAAATATCATCTATGTATAAGATATAGCAAGAAGCACAAAAACATGATGATATATGGTAACAATGAAACCAAACAGAAATGTCTAAGATAATACATGTTCCATCCACAAGATAAATATAACCAATCATGCTCAAAATCACACATGATATCTCTCCCTTAAACATAAAGTACCTCTTATCCCCTTTTTGTAAGAATTTAACAAACCATACATAAAAGGAAGAAATGAACCAATTAAAAGAAAATATAAATATATTTTTTTTTTCATTTTTATGATATTTGAATAAAAAGAATGAGATTGCAATTTTCATGAATTTCAAGCATACATGAGATCCAAGAATTTCTGAAGAATTTAAAAACAAGAAATTTTTAAACATCACAAATTATTCAATCAAATTAATTTTCATGCATGCAATAACAACATGAAATTCAACTTTCAACTTTTTATAAAAATTTAGAAATTTGCCTAACAAGTTCATACATGTGTGTGTGCAGTCCAACCTCATCAAATTTCAATAAATCACATTGACCAACTATCTAAACCATATTGATAAAAAAATATCGAGATAAAATAGTTTTGAGCAAATTTTTCTAAATAATGCGGCTTTCACTCTAAAGAGTAGATATCAATTTCTTATTTCGACTTGTCTCTACCTTTCTTTTTACTCAAATTACACCACTTCAAAGTCTTATAGATCTATTGAACGAATATCAATACGTAGCATTTTCCTTAGGAAAGATATTCAGCAAATTTTGATTTTTCTTTTCTTTTCATGCTTATTATTATTATTTTTTAAAAACACATGCTCTCTCTCTCCATATATATATATATATATATATATATATATATATATTTTAAACAATAACCTTTATAACTTTTATGAGCAATATGACCTAGTCAACTTCTCAATGATTTTCAATTAAATTTCTCAAAGTTGAACTAGTGCACATGAAAAACAAATGAACTCAAGAGACTCATATCTAAAAATAAATAAATAAATAAATCAAATTGTCTTTCAACATATAAATTACACATCAAGAACATTTTTCATTAAATAACCACGTGTCCCAATTTGCATTTAAAATTAATAAATTCAAGAGAAATAATTATCACTTATGTATTGACAAGAAAAACATGATCATCACTTTATCATGAAATGAAAAACATATGAACTCAAGAGACTCATCTCTAAAAATAAATAAATAAAACAAATTGTCTTTCAACATATAGATTACATATCAAGAACATGTTTCATTAAAAAAACCACATATCCCAATTTGTATTTAAAAATAATAAATTGAAGAGAAATAATTACCACTTATGTATTGACAAGAAAAACATGGTCATCACTTTCTCATAAAAAATATATAAAATAACAGCCTAAATCCTAAACTGTAAGATATGGTCCAATGGAAACAAGATATTCATCAAAACATAATTCATGACCATAAAACCTCTTTAAGACTTAGTGGGGTTTGCATCCATAGACCTAACGGATCCCTAGATTTGGTTCGTTACAATTAATATATTAAATATAAGGTCTTGAGTTTGAGTTGTGATAAGTTATGTTTCCATTTATATTTTATGTGTCACTTACACTTGAGCTTGATTGTGGGGTTTGACCGGGCTTATTATTTTGGTCCGGGCCTAAGCTATTTCGTAAAAATTTGAGCTGGGCTTGGGTAAATTCGGGTTGGGCCCGCCCTTGCAGCCCTACTCAAGGGACGATACCCAAACTGATCTCGAATACTCGATATGAATTTGACTTGGTTGAATAGTCAAAATCCCAAGTCAACTCATTGCAGTTATATTAAATCCAAACAAAACATGTTTAGATGGTCTAGTATATTTGTTCAAATCAGAACAGAATCTAAAATGTTTAACGTAATTACGTAATATACCTGTTTTGATACTTTGAAAAAACATTTGTTCCTTTTCTGTTCACTGCTTCAACCTCCAATCGAGACATTCAATCACACTGCAAGAAAGGTATAGGTTAAAAGATCGCTACCATAGGTTAGTGGTGTAGATTTCCAAAACCATCACCATGGGTTAATATTTTTGGAAATTAAAAACGCTTCATTGGAACACATAGTATAACTAAAATTTAGAGTCATAGAGAGTCTAAATTGCTGACGTGAAAAATACTAACTTGAAATTGCTGGATTGCCAAAATTTGGCAGCTGGAACCACCAAGGTGGTTTCACAGCAATTCCAAATTCCATAGGAATGGTAGGAACTACTTGTGTTGGTTCCAGCAGCTTCTTGGGCATCTGTGCTGCTGCTACAAGTACTTGTTACATTCGTAGTAGTGATTATCACCTACTAAAAGCTTCAACTTTAAATTTCTAAAACAAAATCCATGCCTAAAGAATAAAATAAAGATCACGTTAGACCCCTTCCGAAATTACATTTATCTATGAAGCAAATTAAATTCAATGTGCTCAAAATGAAATAAAATATCAATTACACCAATGGATCCCAAAACGTCAAAGATTACCATTTACATGGTACAATATGCATCAAATTATAAAATTCAAAATAGGATAAAATATCAGAAACTAGCTGCTTACTGATCCTACAAGTATCATTTGTCTCTACAGCTGCTCAGTGGTCTTGCGAGTATCGTTCATCTCCATTTGCAACCTGCCCAAAAAGGGAAAAAGAAAAGATTGAAACTAATGACATATATATATATATATTAAGTTAGTAAAATTGAAGTTGATAAACGACTCGTTGCATAAGTAGTTGGCCAAGCGAAACCTATTCCAATATCTCCAACTATTTTGGAACATCTAAAAAGGTCTATTTTGTAAAGGTTCCTTCATACTAAATGCAATATATTTTAAATATATCTACAGGTTTTTATAAGAAGCAAGCAAGAAAAAGAAAAAGAAAAGAACAAAAATTGAATAAATTAACATATAGCTGAACCGCAAGCTAATAAAACATTAACAAAGTCATTAAATGCACCAAATAACATGCTTCCAAATAACATTCTTTTACTCTCTCGTGGTGATTTTGAATCAGCCAAAGTCCCTACTTGATAAAAACTTAAACAGGATTTCATTTGCGAAAAATGACAATTCCAAACAAGTCATCCTGCTGTTGGAGAAAAATTGCAAGGGGCTTGATTCAGCACAAAGTTTACATTGGAAGGAAAACTAATATATGGTTCGACTCTTGGTTGCCTCCAGTCAACAACATAAACTGCCAATGCTTAATCTAGTGTTTTTTTTCCTGAATGGGGTTTCCTTAATCTAGTTTTGTCATACCTTGGTTGCCTTCCTGGACTTCCGAAAACTGAATCCGATCAAATCATTTGGAACAAGTCAACATTGTTACAACAAACCATCTGCTTCAACTGTTCAGCAAATTGGTGACATCTTACAATACTCATCTATACATCAGCCATTACTTTTAGTTTAAATGACACCGATTCATGTGCAAGCTCCAAAATTTAGAGTGAAAGAGTATCATGCGTGTGCAAGATTCATTAGAAACACTCCTCCTTCAAACAGAGGCACATACAGAACTTTCAAAACTAAGATAATGCCAAATTCGCAAGCAAAAAATACAACTCCTTTCTTTGGCACCCTAAATCATAAATATGCACGGTTTCCTTTCTTTGGCACCCTAAATCATAGAACTCTAACCTCCATGACATTCCAACCATATTAACAACATTACAGAGTTTCAGAAAGTTATTAACCTTGGGAGATGGAATAACATTGGTAGATGAAGAGAAGGATAGTCTTGGATTTTGTGTTGCCATAGGAGTGGTAGCCTCATTGCAGATCTACAGGGCCTAGACAATTCTGTAAGTAAATACCACCAATAAACAATAAATCTCTAAATAAAATAATAATTATAGCATCTACCAGCAATTCGGCAACAACTATAATCGTGCACCTGCTGAGTTAGATTATAGTTAATTACAACCTCACCATTTTTGGACTTGATTTAATCTGGAACTTCATCACTAGTGCAATTTCATATGGTTTTCGGGAAGCTATTACTAGACATTGCAGATAGGGCAACGAGACTATCTATTGATCATCTTTTGCAAAATAGTATACAACAATGGTTGGATAGACCGCTGAGGGAATTTCAGATACATAGATGTGTGTGCGCGCGTGATTCAGTCGAAAGAATGGAAAAAAAAGGTTCAACCTCAAATTCAGTTGGACACTTAAGTTTATGGACTAGACAATTTTAGAGGTAGGTAATCTTCAGAAAAGAATATATATAAGACAAAAACCATGTCAATGGAGAGGACAAGAAGAAAAAAAAAAAAAAAGTTGTGCCTCAGAGTGATGCTGAAGAAAATACCTTTAAAAGAACAAATTAACCATCCTCGGTTACCAAAACAAGTTCTTCAATGAAAGGATTGGAAACTGGATATACAATAACACTTATTTGAGTTGCTCAATGTCTGAAAGGAATACAACATGATGGAATGACAATGATCTGATGCTCATATACATCTGGGATTAGTTATCTCCTGTAATTGATAGGAGTAGAAATTAGCACCCACATGCAAAAGAGTAGCAGAATTATGTTCGTATAAAGCCAGCACATACTCCAATATAATAAATCAAATTTTTGATTTTTTTTTTTTTCAGTTGATGCATGACGAGCAGGAAATCCAATTCATGTGTTAGTTATCTGTACATGTGGTGATTAGCATATATATGTTATAAGAAGAGCCATATATATATAAAAACATGAGCTTACCTCAAGGAGAATTATCCATAAGTGAAATAATTGGTTTCTATTGCGACGCGGGGAATGTGGGCAATTTTGGGCCAGTAGTCACCTTCGTCCTCCTCCGAGCACCGTTCTTTAAGAAGTGGACAGTTACTGGTCTGAAGACTTCGAAGCGTGGAAGGCAGCCCTTCCTTTGGCAAGGATCGAAGCTTAGAGCAGTATGTGATGACTAAATGATGAAGAGAGGTGAGATTTTGGAGGCCCTTGGATGATATGGATACCAGATTTGGCAGATTCTTGATGATTAATGTGGTTAGAGTTGCAGGAAGTAGACAGTACTCATGAGGAAAGGAGACCAGGTCTGGATATCCACCACCACTTTCTAATTTCTGGAGAGAGGTGAGTCTGTGCAGACCCCACTCTGACAAGGGCTTCAGTTGTTGCTGCCAACTGCTGATATGAACTTCAATCAGGTTGGGGGGCAAATTCCCATTCGCATGAGGAAAAGACTCAAGACATGGACAATCTGTTATTTCTAAGGATTCGAGGTTGTGAGGAATGTGGTTGGTTGTCAATGATCTCAGATTCACGCAGTTACCGACAATAAGTGATCTGAGGTTGGGGAAGCCACTTTCTAGGAAGGACAAGGAATCCACAACATTGCAACCCCATATCCTCAGTTCACGGAGACTAGGGAAATTATTGTACCCCCCAAGTAGTAACCTTCCAACCTTTGGCCAATTTGAGATTTCTAACACTTCAAGTGTTGACATATTAATGTTGTTAAAACCCTCCTCCTCCTGCCGTAGCATCATTGTCGTCTCCGAAACCTTCGAGAAGTTATCCAAATTCATGCCATCATAAATACAAAGCGTCTTGAGGGCGGTAGGTAACGTGTTGGTGGGCCAGGACTTCAATGATGGGCAATAATTGATCTCCATCAGGCAGGGACTCCAATGCCTTGCAACGATGGATAGAAAGATATTTGAGTGTGGGAGGAACACCTTCCTTTGGAAACCGCACAAATTTCGAACACCCACTAATCTCTAAAGATGTGAGAGACGCGAGGTTATTCAGTTCATTTGGCAACTTCTCAAAATTCTCACAATATCCTATATATATTTCCTGAAGATTAATGCAAGGCGGCCCTTCTTCATCTAATCGTTCTCCAAAGGAAACAAGTTGGGGACACGACTCAACATGTACTCTTCGTAGACCGACAAGATTATTCTTTTGTGTTGCATTCTCTGTAACCCCCCTGCCATTTTGCCACAAAGCCGTCGGTTGGTTGCATTCTCTGAACTCAAGACTTTCAAGTGCTCCCAAGGACTGCACCCATGCTTCCTCAAGGTAAGATAGTCCTATAATACGGTCAACCTTTAAGCTTGTTAGTGAGGTCACATCAACAATACTTTTGAGTAGCAACTCCTGATAATTTACCAAGTCTAATTTTTGAAGAGAGGGAAGACTCAGAAGTGAAACTGTAATCAGCTTGGGACAACCAACTATTTTGAGCTCATGGAGGCAAGGGAATTGTCTTCCATGTTCTTCAACACCCATAGAACATGACCATTCTTCCCATGCGGGCATGTCCTCAAATTTCAGTCTCTGAAGTGATGGAAAAAGAAGTCCCAAAGGAAAACGATCCCCCTAGAACTCAATTCCTAAATTTTGTACTTCATGCATACCTTCAATGCATAGCTCTTTCAAAATGCATAGTTGCTCAAGTGGTGGTAAAGATCTGCTTTTTCTACATCCTACAAGACTCAGCTTCACCATTTCAGAGAATGTTGGATCGCCTATCCAGCTTGAAAATTTTGTGCCCCCATAAAACTCAATTTTGAGTTTCTCCAAGTTTCTGTGAGGTTGTACCTTGTCAAGTACATTCATTTCGAGGTTTTCATTTTGAAAATCATTGAAGTCACTACACCACGCTAACTCTAATTCATCAAGGTCCTTCTTAGCCCTTAAATTTGCCTCATTTGCATCTTGAAGATCCATTACATTTTGCAACTCTGTAATAGAAATGCTCCCATGTAAAAGCCTCAAATTCCTCAACTCTTGCACTCCTGGCCCATTGTTTTTGTCCACAATAAACTTTGACAGTGTCTGCAAATTTGTCAGTCTACCAATTCCGGAGGACATCTCTCGTAATTGAACAGTATCAGTAATGTTAAGATTGCGTAAATTAATTAAATTCGCAATGTTTGAGGGCAACATACAAAGATTATTGCAACTGCGCAATAACAGTGTTTGTAAATTGTAGAGAGTACTCAATGATTCAGGTAACCGTCTGATTAAAGATCCAGATAAATTAAGATACCTGAGATGCTTCAAATCGCCAATCGAGTCTGGTAGCTTAGTTATGGGATAAAAAGAAAAAGATAACACCCTTAAGCACTGTAATTTTGGCAAAAAATCAGACAAAACTTTATTTGCTAAATAGAATCTTGTCCACCAGGATGACATAGGAATTGGTAATGGCAGTAAAGTTAATGGCAGTAAAGTTCGCAAATGTTGAACTTTACAAAGAGGCTTGAACTTCTGAATGACTTCAAATCGTTGATGGATATATGACAAGTCTCCAACTTATCGAGCATAAAGCATATATCCCCAGCAATGTGTAGAGCTAGCTAGATCATTTAGAAGGTCATGCATGACAAACTGTGATTCACTACCACCTGACTGCTGGAAAAATGACCTTGATAATGGATCATCAAAACATTCATCACCAAAATCTTCCATCCGCTTATTTTGTTTTTGTTTTGATAGCTGCAAAAGACCTACCCCCATCCACAATAAAACTAGCTCGTCTCCATCAAAGACATAGTCTTTTGGAAATATTGCACAGTAAGCAAAGCACTGCTTCAAATGAGATGGGAGATGATGATAGCTCAATCTAAGAGCTGAAAGAATTCCACTTTTTTCTTTAGGTAAATCCCACATCTTGCTATTCAGTATATTCTCCCACTCCCTTTGTCGTGGTTTGTTGCTCAAGAGGCCTCCTAGTGTTTTTGCTGCCAAAGGCAAGCCTTTACATTTTTTTCACTATTTCTTCATCAATTCCTTTCAGATTTGAATGTTCATTGAATTTTCTCTCTCGAGTGCATGGTGAGTAAATAAAGATAGGCATTCATCTTCCAACAGCTCTTTTAAAGGGTAAGCTAGAGACAGACTCATGGCTAATGCAACAATTCTATGGCGAGTTGTGACAATAAAAAAGGACAACGTAGGACATCTCATTCTTTATAATTCTCATTCCAAACATCATCCAAAACAAGAAGAAATCTTTTGCCTGACAAGTTCATCTTTAGTTTCTGTTGAAGCATATTCAAAGCCTCATCTTTATGAGTTGTTGAACTGACCGCCTCAAGAATTTTCTTGGTTACTCCAACAATATCAAAATCATCAGAAACACAGACCCACGCCTTGAGATCAAAATGACCCTTTAGACGTTCATTGTCATAGACCAGCTTAGTGAGCGTTGTCTTGCCAACATCTCCCATTCCCACAATGGGAATGACAGAGACTTTGTCAACACTAGCTTCATCAATCAACAAATCAAGTATAGCCTCTTTATCATTTTCTCTGCCATAAACATGAGATTTGTCCATTGAAGAAGACGTGTCGCGTCTTTTTCTTACTCTGTTGGACCTATCCCCTTCGACAATCTCTACCAAATTCAGGCTATTCTGTCGGGTTTCAATATTTTCTAACCTGGCAGTAATTTCCTCCACTTTCGACATCATATTGTGATCAAGCTTAATAGCGCTAGGAGTACTACTACTGAAGGAAGTGCAACAAGTTAGGATGAGTAGTTTTCGTACCTTACTACTACTACTAGCTTCAGATTCTAGCATGTTCAGCTCCAGTCGCAAAGCTTCAGTAGCAATATCATCAAGCAAATCATCCAAATCGAAAGCCACGTCGTTGAGATCCTCCATCCACGATTTGACTCCATCATTTGTCATTTGCTTCTCCTCTGCATCGACGAGAACATCACGAATATCTGGCAACATTTTCTCCAGCTTCTTCAACTCACGATGGATTCCTTCTTGACGGGCATGGTTTGACACCGCACGAGAGGCCAATTTTTCAAGCAGCATCTCAAAGATTGGCCCCAGAAAGATCCTGTTAGAAATTAAACTTTATTTTATTTTAAAATGTCTTTGAAGGTCATGGGTGTTTTTTTATTTGATGTTTTATATTTATGTGAGTTTTTTTATTGGAGTTAGTGGGGGGCATGAGAGTTACAACTACTAAATGGTCATGTTAGTGGGTTAGTGGGAGTTTTGCCTACTAAATGGTCATGTTAGTGGGTTAGTGGGAGTTTTGCCTACTAAATGATATGTTAGTGGGGTGTTAATTTTCATTTTCATTTATGTTTTGAAGCTTATATAAACCTATGCATTGTACTCATTTTCAATCAAGTGAAATAAAAAGTGTTCTTCCTTCATTTTTATTTTCTTCCAAATAGTATAGAGTTGTGTGTGTAACTAGGCCACTGTTTCCAATAAAGTGGTATCAGAGCTAGTTTGTGAGAGAGAGAAGAAATGGCAAACAATTCGGTTCCATTTCAAATGCCTCGATTCACCAAAGATAACTATGAAAATTGGTGTATCCGTATGAAGGCAATTTTGGGAGCACAAGATGTGTGGGAAGTTTCCAAAGGTTATGATGAGCCAGAAGATGAGGTAACTTTGTCTCAAGCCGAAAAAGATGTTTTACAAGCCATGAGAAAGAAGGACCAAAAGGCGGTGAAGACCATCCATCAATGTTTGGATGATGGAATGCTACAAAGAGTTGCTAGTGTAGAAAATGCAAAGCAACTATGGGAGATTCTTCAAAACTCCTTCCAAGGAGTTGATAAAGTGAAGAAGGTTCGCCTCCAAACGTTGAAAGGTGAATTTGAAGCATTGCATATGAAGGAATCTGAATCAATTTTAGATTATTTTTCGAGGGTCCTGGCTATTGTAAATCAACTAAGAAGATATGGCGAAACCACCATGACTGATACAAGGGTCGTTGAAAAGATCGTTCGGTCGTTGGATTCCAAATTCAATTACATTGTTGTAGCCATTGAAGAGTCAAATGATTTGGATTCCATGACTGTTGATCAACTCATGGGTTCGTTGCAAGCTCGTGAAGAAAAGGTGGTGAAGAAATAAGAAGCTTTAGAGCAAGTGCTACAAAAAAAGTTTTCGTTGAATGAAAAAGACAAAAAACATGGAGGAAATCAAAGGAGCCGAGGACGTGGAAATGCACATGGCTGAGGAAGAGGAAGAGGCCGTGGAAGAGGAGAAAGAAGCGGTTAACACACAACCAGCAATGAAGAAAAAGTCCATGACTCACAACAACTAAGAGGTCGTGGTAGAGGAAATTACTCAAGGTCATATGGGAGGAGGTATGATAAGTCTCAAATTCAATGTTACAATTGTCAAAAATATGGTCATTATGCTTCGGAATGTAGAAATGTTGCTAACGATGTTGAAAAAAAAGCTAATTATGTTGATGAAGAAGTGGAGCCTACTTTGTTGTTGGCATACAAAGGTGAAAGGAGTGAAGAAGATGTGTGGTATCTTGACACCGGTGCAAGCAACCATATGTGTGGTAGCAAAGAGAAGTTCGTTGATATTGATGAATCAATAAATGGTAAGGTGACATTTGGAGACTTATCACAAATTCCGGTAAGAGGGAAAGGTAAAATATTGATTCGTTTGAGGAATGGGCATCATCAATTTATCTCTAATGTTTATTATGTGCCTAATATGAAGAACAATATTTTGAGTTTGGGACAACTCTTAGAAAAAGGCTACAATATTTCCATGAAGGATTGTAGTCTTTCGATAAGAGACCCATTGGGTAATTTGATTGCGAAGGTTCCAGTGACAAAGAACCGGATGTTTTTGCTAAATATTTAAGCCGATGAGGCTAAATGTTTGAAGGCTTGTTTTAATGATTTAACTTGGCTTTGGCACTTGAGACTTGGGCACTTGAATTTTGGAGGATTAGAGTTGTTGGCTAAAAAGAAGATGGTGAAGGGATTGCCTTTCATTAGCAATCCAAATCAATTGTGTGAAGGATGTCTCGTTGGAAAGCAATCAAGGAAAAGTTTTCCTAAAGAAGCTACCACAAGAGCTACGGCGCCACTACAACTTATCCATTCGGATGTTTGTGGTCCAATTTCTCCATCATCATTTGGTAAGAATAATTATTTTTTATTATTCATCGATGATTTTAGCCGAAAAACATGGGTGTATTTTCTTAAACAAAAATCGGAGGTGTATGGAATTTTTAAGAAATTTAAAACACTCGTTGAAAAACAAAGTGGCTATGATGTAAAGGCTCGTCGATCCGACAGAGGTGGTGAATTCACATCAAATAATTTCAAAAAATTTTGTGAAGAAAATGGAATTCACCATCCTTTAACGGTTCTGAGATCGCCCCAACAAAATGGAGTTGCAAAAAGAAAAAACAGAACCATTCTCAATATGGCTCGAAGCATGTTGAAAAACAAGGAAATGCCTAAAGAATTTGGTTCTGAAGCGGTTGATTGTGCGGTGTACTTGTCCAACCGGTATCCTACTAGAAGTGTGCAAAGCAAAACACCACAAGAAACATGGAGCGGAAGAAAGCCAAGTGTCTCTCATTTGCGGGTTTTTGGGAGCATTGCCCATGTGCACGTGCCGGATGAAAGGAGGACCAAGTTAGACAACAAAAGTGAAAAAATGGTGTTCATTGGCTATGATGCAAATTCCAAAGGCTACAAGTTGTACAATCCAAGCAATGGGAAGATTGTCATTAGTAAAGATGTTGAATTCGAAGAGCGAGCCACATGGGATTGGAACACTCCAAATGAAGATTATAATATTTTTCCAATTTCTGATGAGGAGCAAGAAAATGAAGGCATGGAGCAGCCCATTTCTCCACCAATATCATCTCCACCACCATCAATTCAAGATCAATCAACTCCATCATCATCAAGTTCAAGTAACACACCACCACTTCGCATGAGGAGTCTTTGTGACATATATGATGAAACAGATAAGGTAACGGAAAGGTTAGGTGATCTAACACTTTTTTGTCTTTTTGCGGATTGTGAACCCGTAGGATTTGAGGAGGCGACACAAGACAAAAAATGGAGAAATGCTATGGATGAAGAAATTAAATCCATAGAGAAGAATGACACATGGGAGCTTGCTACACTTCCAAAAGGGCAAAAGGCAATTGGTGTCAAATGGGTGTATAAAGCAAAGAAGAATGCAAATGGTGAAGTTGAAAAGTATAAAGCAAGATTGGTCGCCAAGGGGTACAACCAAAAGACCGGGATTGACTATGATGAGGTATTTGCACCCGTAGCTCGTTTGGAAACAATTAGATTGTTAATTTCTTTGCCAGCCCAGAACAATTGGAGAATCCACCAAATTGATGTAAAATCGGCTTTCTTGAATGGGTTTCTTGAAGAAGAAGTGTATGTTCAACAACCCATGGGCTATGTTGTAAAGGGGCAAGAAAACAGAGTCTTAAAATTGAAGAAGGCTTTATATGGCTTGAAGCAAGCACTAAGGGCGTGGAATAAGCGAATTGACAAATATTTTCAAGACAATAATTTTTCAAAGTGCCCATATGAACATGTTCTTTACTCCAAAGTAAGTGAGAATGGAGATTTATTTTTTTTTTGCTTGTATGTGGATGATTTAATCTTCACAAGTAGCAATCCAAAAATGTTTTAAGATTTCAAGAAGGTTATGGCTCGAGAGTTCGAGATAACAGATATTGGCATCATGGCTTATTATCTTGGCATTGAGGTCAAGCAAATGAATGATGGAATTTTCATTCACCAAGAAGGCTATGCTAAGGAAATTCTCAACAAATTCAAGATGGAAGATTGTAAATTGGTGAACACGCCCATGGAAGTTGGAATTAAATTGTCAAGAGATGAAGATGGAGAGACGGTGGATCCAACATTTTTCAAAAGTCTTGTTGGAAGCTTGAGATACTTAACATGCACAAGGCTAGACATATTATTTGTGGTTGGGCTTGTTAGTCGATTTATGGAAAGACCCACCATAACTCATTTCAAGGCGGCTAAAAGGATTCTTCGTTACATCAAAGGTACCCTTGATTTTGGGTTATTCTATTCATTTACTAATGATTTCAAGCTTGTGGGTTATTCTGATAGTGATTGGGCCAGAGATTTGGATGATAGAAAAAGTACTTCTGGCTATTGTTTTTTCATGGGAAATGTTGCTTTTATATGGTGTTCAAAGAAGCAACCCATTGTCACCCTCTCAACTTATGAAGCAGAATATGTTGCAGCCACTTCATGTATTTGTCAAGCAATTTGGTTGAGGAATTTGTTAAAGGAATTACACATGCTACAAAAAGAGTCAACGGAGATTTTTGTGGACAACAAATCAGCAATTGCTTTGGCCAAGAATCCGGTGTTTCATGAACGAAGCAAGCATATTGATACAAGATTTCATTTCATTAGAGAATGCATAACCAAGAAGGAGGTGGAGCTCAAGTTCATCAAGTCACAAGATCAAGTTGCGGATATTTTCACCAAGCCCCTCAAGTTTGCAGATTTTCACAAGTTAAGCAGTTTGCTTGGAATTGAAAAAAAATCAAGTTTAAGGGGGGGTGTTAGAAATTAAACTTTAATTTATTTTAAAATGTCTTTGAAGGTCATTGGTGTTTTTTTATTTGATGTTTTATATTTATGTGAGTTTTTTTATTGGAGTTAGTGGGGGGCATGAGAGTTACAACTAGTAAATGGTCATGTTAGTGGGTTAGTGAGAGTTTTGCCTACTAAATGGTCATGTTAGTGGGTTAGTGGGAGTTTTGCCTACTAAATGATATGTTAATGGGGTGTTAATTTTCATTTTCATTTATGTTTTGAAGCCTATATAAACCCATGCATTGTACTCATTTTCAATCAAGTGAAATAAAAAGTGTTCTTCCTCCATTTTTATTTTTTTCCAAATAGTATAGAGTTGTGTGTGTAACTAGGCCACTATTTCCAACAGATCCCAGCAACCTCCATCGATCGGTTTGTGAAATGAAAGCTAGCAATCAAAGGAAGAGATCAAAATGGGTTTGTGAAAGAGATGATCAAAATGAGCTTTGCACCTAATTAAGTTCAAACCAAGTGCAAGAACAAGAGTGGTTGACTGGAATCTCCAAAAGTTGTTTAACCTCCACCGGAAAGGGTCGCCAAAATACTTTTTTTTTTTAATAAAAAAAGCTGAAAATAATTCAATTACTGACAACCAAATTGGAATCTCCATAATATTATACTGCATTGTCGACTGAGTGGCATGTACCGCTACTATTCTCTATATGAGTATTTTTATTTATTTATTATTATTATTATTATTTTTTTTTGAAAAAGTATGAATTTTGATTTGTGATTTTAATTCAAATTAGATAGCTACTTATTTGTTTACTTTGTATGTTTTAGAAATAAAATTTTAATATAAGAAAGGAGAAAAAAAAATTAAAAATACTAACCCTAATAACTTAAATTTTATTCTACCAATATATATCTTTATTTAGGAGACATTTTTCATTAAATCTTTAAATAATTAAAATTAGAAGTTACATTTTTTTACCATGAATGAATGCGATATGGATCCTCTTCTGAGGACATCTCTCTAATGTTCTCTTCAAAACTAATTTGAAGGCTAATATTTAGATACGTTATTCATTAGGAGAGGTCATTTGCATATCTCCTTTTCCCTCTTTCTCTCTCCTCTCAACCTTTCTCTTTCTAAATCTTAGATGCTAAGACCAAAATTTTCTCTCACTTTTCAGTAACTTTCATACCCAAATTTTGCTTGCCGAAATCCGTAGGTTTCTTTAACTTGTGTTAAATGCAATATATACACATATATAAATAAAAGAGAAATAATAATTAATTCTGGAAACAAAAATAAATAAATAAATAATGAATTGTGTAACTACCCTAAACTAATCCCATTTATAAAAAAAAAATTGGCATGAGCTCCCCCAAAAAAGGGGACTACCACAACCTGCTCAAATAAAAAAATGCAATGGCCTTTCAAAACACCTCCAACCTGTCCCAACACATAAAACAAATAATATACTCCAACATTCCATTCATCCGTTCATTATACCTCAACATGGTTCATCTCATGGTGGAATATCTACATACCGTTTAATCCAAATTATCATAATTACAGTCCCAAAATATAGTTACAATAACAAGAATTCACAAATCTCTATACCAAATATAACAAACTAAGATTTTACAAAAAACATGGGACTTAATACAAAAATAGCAAAAAGAAGTCTTCTAATCCAAATTAGGTCTGTGGTGGAAAGTCGTCCGCCACTTCTTTCCCGTTCCCTGAAAAAAATTATTAAATAATAGGGTGAGCATAAAGCTCTGTAGGTAGTACTAAAGACACGCTTCTTGTGTCCCCGTGAATCCATACAAAGAATAGAGCAATGGGAAATTGTAATACCCCTAGTTTTCAAAAGGATACAATGGGAATTTAAATTTGATTTTATTGCATTTTTATTTCATTATGTGATTTATGTGCTCATTTGCGTAATTGTTTAATTGTTTCTTTATTTTAAATTAATTGTGTATTTGTTCTTGATTCTAAATTACTTGTTTATTTGTTTTAAAGTAATTGTTTAATTTTAATAGTGTATTTGTTTTAAAGTAATTGTTTAATTTTAATTATTTAGTTGTCTAAATTAATTGTTTTATTTGGTCTTGTATATGATATAGGATTAGGGTTTTATTTTTTATATAGTATGGACGCAGACTTATATTAGGTTTTAAATTAAACCCGGTAAATATAGAGTTACGTAGATTAGGGTTTGGGACGTCTATATATATTTTTCTTTTAAGTCTGCTAGGGTTGGGAACAATCCTACTCACGTAATATTTATGAGAAGGAAAACAGAGGCTCTAGACTGGTCTTGAGAGAAACATAGAGGGTCTGGGGTGATTTTCTGTGAGGCTAAAGGAGGAAGACTGGAGGAAGAACAGAGGGGTTACTTCTGGATGGAACCAAGAAGCAATAGAGGAAAGGAACTGTGAGCAGAGCAGAGGGGAAACAGACTTGGAGAATTCTGAAACTTAGAGACGACGCTTAAGGTTTCAAACAGGAATCGTGAGGCAAGTTTCAGTCTATTCCTTTCCTATAAACTTGTGTTCTGTGCATTCTAAATAGACTCCAGGGATGTAATAAACTTTAAAACAAGTGTTTATGCATAATGAATCAAATTGAAATCTGTTCTACGTTTTGTGTATAACTTTGTTTGCTTCCTTGTATAGACTACTTCGATTTGGATTTAAACCTCTGTAAATCAATTTATAATGGAATTCAAAGAATTTCTAGGGCTGTTTAGACCTTGTTTGAACTCTAAAACCTTTAGAAAAAACTGGGAACAGAAGGTTGAAGAGCACCGTGGAAGAAGAAGGTGAAGTAGAGGAGTGGAGAAGACTCGAAGTGGGAGGAGAAGGCTCCAGATTTGTGAGAGCCGTCTCCACCTTCAAAGAGCCGGCTCCAAGGGGTTAGGGAGCTGGCTCTAAGTGAGAAAGAGCCTGCTCTTTGATTTTAGAGCAGGCTCCCTTGGTTAAGTCACGTTTGGATGCATTCTTGAGCTGTTTGGGCGTGTTTGGGCCATGTTTGAAATTCTAAATGGTTTTAGGGACTGGAATGAGGATTCTAAAAGTAATTTCAAGGGATTTTAGTTCCTCTAATTGTATATTTTGGTCCGTAAGGCAAATGGAATAAATAGTGTAAAAATAAGCGACTTTGTACGCCGCTAGCGGATAGGAAGGACTAGTGCACTAAGTTTTGTTTTAAAATTTTAACGGACTATTGCATGGAATCTAAACATGATATTATGCTATATTAGGACCCACAATGCATAACTTATCCTAATATGCTAAGGGTTTTCATAGTGTAGGAGTTTTAAGTAATGACGCACTTTGTTGGCGATTGTAAAGTATCCTATTGTGTGAATTTAATTTAGCAACTTAGATGACTGGAGGATGGTTTTGAAATCTATGTTAGATATAGAATAGGGTTATGTATCTTTTGGACCTTATTTATGCATAGGTTGGATTTTAATTAAGGAACTAATAAATTAGGTTTCAATAATTAAATTGAGATTGTTATTTTAATGGTTAAACTGTTCTATATGTTTCAGCAACTATTGGTTGGTAGTGTGGATTTTCTGAGTAATAATTTGTCATTCTCAGCTTTATAATTGACTCTTACTATTGTTAATATTGTCAACTGCTGGACTGTACTATGGGTTAGTTGAAATTTAATTAAATGAATTAAATTTTCAATGACATGGATGGATACTGGATCTTAACTTGATGAACTATTAAACTCTGTCTCGTTAATTATATGGATGGATTCTGAATTTTCAAGTTGATGAACTATTTAAATTCTGTATATCAACTATTTGGATTACGTGGATATGAGTTGATGAACTGCATAAAATGTTGCATCATTCAAGGATCATTTGCATTATATGTACCGGTATGGGACGGTGACATATCAGGGATGGATTAGATCAAAAAGCTAAGTCCTACCCCTTCATACATAAGGAATGGATTAACTAAAACAGTTAAATCCTATATGGATGCATGTCCTGTCAACTAAAACAGTTGAATGACATAATGGATATTTGTTTTATCTTTCTGCACTAGGAAGGAATTTATATATATATTTATGGTACCGTGATACGAGCTTGAGTCTCCTGATCACGGTTAGGGTGCGTATATTACAAAGGTTGAGTATCTAGATATAGCTAATGTTCCCTGGTAGGTCTAAGTACTTGGCCGTTGAAAAGCGTGTTTTATATGTCACCTTCTACCCAGGCTGAACTATGTTATAGGCTAGTGAGCATCCTATAGTGTGTGTGTGTGTGTATATATATATATATATATATATATATATATATATATGGACTATTGTAGATATTGCCGAGTTATCTAGGATGTATTTGCGTATCGGGTTTATGTACGGATTGTAGTAGATTGGAACTTGCATGTGGGCCTGACCCACTCATATTTTTCAGGTATTTGCCAGTACCAGGCTTAGAGTTTGTTCGTGTTGATGCAGATACAGACACTCACTCTTCCGGTTACATAGGGTTTCTTTTCTATTTTGATTTTGGATTTTAATTCTGTAAATTTAATTAAAGATTTGGAGTTAGGGGTCCACTAGGTGGATTCCCGAGTTATACGGATTTAAATTATATTAATTTATTATTTAATGTTTGAGGATTTTCATATTTCTTTCTGTTTATTATTATTTTAATCTTAATTCAGTTTTTTCCTGCTTGTTTACACATTGATTGTTTGGTATCCCTCGGATCTGTGCTCGGACTTGATCACCCGTGGCTCTAGAATCGAGAGGTATCACAGAAATGAGGATCATACAATGTCGGGATAAACCATATAACAATCAACTTTCAAGTATAAACAAGGAGGTGCTATGCAATGCAATGTATGATAATGTCTCTCCCTATTTTCACTTTCAAAACCATTACTTTCAAACTGTTAATATAACCTGCCCTTTGGTGACCCCGCAGAGACAAGAGAGAAGGATTGGCTAGTGTCCCTGACCCTTGGTACCCCCGCGGCGTCATTATGGGCCCAGCTAGCTCAACCACGCTAGGGCGACTCCCTAGTTCCCTCTAGGCTATACTAACCTTCCGGCCCTTTGGTACCCCCGCGGCGATCTGGTTTTCATAAAACAGTCTTTTTTTTTTTTCTTTTTTTTTCATCAAAACTCTTTTCCCAAATTTTTCCTTTTTATTTCAAAATCATTTCTTCCCTTTCATGCCCAATGTCAATGCATGGATGCTTCAAGGACATGCATATACTCATCATTCCACAACTAGTCCAATTTAAGCAACATGGCATAACTCACAAGAATATCAAGAAAATCAAAACATGCTTTCAAACAACAAGAATCTAGCAAGATGAATACATATAGTCAATTCTTACACATGCTCTTCACATAGAACCATTAACACACATAGTCACTTAATCAACATATATGCATACATATCAACAATTCTCTAGATATCAAACAATTAATCAAATTAAGCAACAATTAGAAGGAATTAACTCACTAAGGTACAAAATTTCATGGATTAAGGGCCCCTACCTCTCAAATGCGAAAACCCTCAAAATGGGTCAAGAAATTCGAAGGCTAAAAGGAGGCTCAAAGCTAGAATTGCTGGTACTAATGCGTAGAGTTCGTCGTGGGCTTCGTTTTGCCTCAAACGGCACTTAAATCCGGCAAGTAACACTACAAGAAAAACAGTTTTTTACCACGCCCTTTCTACTACGGTTTTAAAATAACCGTGGTAAAAAATACTTTCTACCACGGTTATAAAATAACCGTTGTAGAAAATTTATATTTTACCACGGTTATTTTAAAACCGTGGTAGAAAGTTTATTCTACCACGGTTATTTTAAAACCGTGGTAGTAATTATATTTTTTACCACGGTTATAAAAGCACCGTGGTAGAAAGTTAATTTATTTCACCACGGTTTTCCATTAACCGTGGTAGAAAGTGAGGTTATTTCACTAAATTTTAGCGGGATAAGGTCGTGCCCTTTGTGCCGCTTTTTCTACCACGGTTAATGGAAAACCGTGGTAGTAATTCAATCTACCACAGTGGAGCACCGTGGTAGAAATTGAATATAGAAGGCGGGTTTTACTCCCGCTAGTTTCTTAAAGAAAAAATTAATCTTTTTTTTTATTTTTTATATATACATAAATATATATAGCCTCGCACGTACACAGACCACATAGTTTAGGGCAAATCATTTCAGCTTCTCCTCACTTCGATCAGCATCCCAAATCGCCTCATCTTCTCCTCACTTCAATCAGCATCCCAAATCGCCTCCATCTCTATTCTCGTTCTCCTCACTCCCAAATCGCCTCCATCGCTATTCTCGTTCTCCTCACTTCAGCATCCCAAATCGCCTCCATCGCTATTCTCGTTCTCCTCACTTCAGCATCCCAAATCGCCTCATCTCTATTCTCGTTCTCCTCACTTCAGCATCCCAAATCGCCTCCATCTCTATTCTCGTTCTCCTCACTTTAGCATCCCAAATCGCCTCCATCTCTATTCTCGTTCTTTGCTCTGAAGTTACCCTCTCTCTGTCTCTACAAGTGTAAACTACAAAATCTACAAGAATCAGAACCCATATCGACATATCATATATTATTGTTCAAAATCAAAACCCATATCCTTCAGTTTCGAAATCCCGCTATTCCAGTTCGATTGGGTTCGCCTTTCGCAAGCTTCAGGCTCTGTCCCGGTGTCTCTCAACTCTCAAGCCATCTCTCTGCAGCTACGAACTTGTATGTATGGGTTTTGTTTTATTATTTTTTTTCTAAATCAATTAATAAGGTCTGTAATTCTTGTTTTGCAAACTAAATCATATTTGGTGAAACAGGATCTCCCTTTGCAGGATTTGAAAGACTAATTGGTAAATTTGGGTTGAATTTGAGTCTTAAACAAGCTGAAGGCCCTGGTAAGTCATTCTTCAATTATTCAATATAAATTTTTTTAGGGCAAATCATTAATTTCAGCCTCCCCAATCGCCTCTATTCTCGTTCTTGACTCTGATTTTGGGGAATGTGGTTTGGAATTTGGGGTTTTATTGGTTTGATTAACCAATCTTTAAGGTTTTTATTGGTGGTTTAGTGAATCTCTGCTCTTTCTTCAGTTGTATAATAAATCTAAAGAGAGGGTTTGGTTTTTGTCATTCTAGTTTACAATGCATCTCTTAGTTCTGGGCCAATCACCTATCTCTGTCTTTTTGTTTAGCAAATGTATCCCGACATTGTTAGTGTCCTTAATTTATTGAGATGAACCTTTTCCCACATAATTACTTTCCAAAGCTTCTATCCTTCTTTTCAAATGACAGAGAAATGAACATGTTCTTATCTTCATATTTAGTCATTAAGGATTTTCATCCCCTTAAGAGAACTACCATAAGTCATATGCATAAAAGACAAACAGGCTAAGACCAGTCAAATTTCTAGAGACACCATTAATAGTTGACAGGTAAATGATATCTATTACATTTCAGAAGCAACTGGAATTGGAAACATAATTAGAATAACCATAATAAACATTGACGGCAGAAAGAGATGAAACATAAACATTAAGCACCTGTTTCCAAATAGCAGAGTTCCAATTCGTCATATTCACGTAATGAATCTTCATGAAGATAAGCCATCTCAAACATGAAAGCCAAGCTTTACTATAAATAGAGAAAAAAACACTAGATAACTCGGAATATTCTAGAAAGAAAATACTCTGAATAAGAATGTTATGTAATTATGAACACATGGCTGAGAGGACACGAGTTAATGTTAGTTGGCCGGCCACCACCTATGTTCAATGGGAGGCATATTCTTTCTTTTCTGTTGAAAACTTCTCCAGATGTGTTATATAATTCAACTAAGTTTACATGAGCAGGGATCATGAAAATCCACAATATGAATTTCCGAAAAAAAAAAAAAAAAAAAATCCACAATACTGAAGTAAGATATCTCCTTACAGCCAAGCGCCCATACATAACAATCTCTTAGTCACTATAAAGAGAGTTTTACCACTGCAACTACCTTTAGAATGAAAAAGTTGCAAAAGTTCCAAATGAGCATGAAGCGCTGTTCAGTGAGCTTGCGAATCTCATCCTCATAAAACTGAATACGCCTGTCAAGTGTGTTCCTGATGCATTCCACTATTTTGGATTCCAAGTCATCCCAGAAATTTGCTTCGGGTCCATGTATATCAAATTTGCAGCACCTGAGTGAAAATATATATATATATATATATATAAATAAATAAATAAATAAAATTTAGACCATCAGGGAGAACAAGGGGCTTTTGTAAGTACTCCTTTTATATTTCCCTTCAGTTTATTAAAATCTTTTAAAATCACCCTTGACCTTAACCTTAGAAATCATGTTAGTCAAAATATGATGCTTTTTGTACCAATCGTGGGCCAAAATGTTTTAGATGACTCAAACACAACACTGTTGAGATTCAGATCCAGGCCAAAGAGCCATTTCAATTTGAAAGGAATCTAGGCAGAATGAGGGAACTAGCAGAAATGCAATGAAATAGAAAGGGGTAATTACATCGGAAAGGAAAAGAAGAATAAGATAAAGATGATTATGATGATGATGATGATGATTGAAAGGACAATAACCATGAAGTGATGAAAATCAAGTTTTTGAAAATTGATTACCTTTTAAAATAATCCTTTACGTAACTTAGTGACACTTACAATTTCCTATTTTTCTCTTACAAAATTTAAATGATGACACTCAGATCTTAATGAAGATAGCTATTCTGAATTTCACAGGGGAAAAAGAAAAAGATAATTGTTCTGAAAGGAAGAGTATCTAGTGGATATATGATACGGGAAATAGATTATTCAAAAATTAAACTCAATCTATAATTAAGAAAAACAAAAGAAGCCATATAATTGGCAGCAGTAGGCTTACCTTTCCCTCTTCTTTGAACTGAAATCAACTTCAAGTTTTGCATATACTTTTTTGGCCAGCTTGGGGGCCTGATCATTGTGGGGTTGAGCTTTAGACACAAATACAATATACCATTCCCGTTCATCATAACCAGATGTAGCAACTTACCTCAATAACCAAACCTCTCGCATCCACCCTACATATAGGAACAATTTCGGCACGATGAAATTGCTTCTTGATCTGCAAAATAGTATATAATACGCATAAACTCTTTGCAGCTCAATATGCAAAAGGTTTCTTGAAATACTATCTAACTTGAAAGGAGGACACAACTAAATCTTTATCTAAACAATTATCAGTTGGTGGCCCCAATGCCAGTTACAGAGAGTCTAAAACAGCATCGCACAACCTGTCAAAGTTTAGCTATGTTGATCACTTAAAAATGTATGGATATAGAAGTATTAAGTATCACGAGTGTTAATACACCACAATGAGACTTAGATGAAATTATAAAAATGTTTTATTTTTATTTATTTATTTATTGTTTTGTTTTCCTGATGTCCGTAGACCATGTGACCTCTGTCATGGCATCCTTTTGATTATCTACCACGAGAGAATAAATTATGGAAATATGAATATGTATGATGTATTTAGTATTTTTTTATAGTACATTAATTCTGTGTGCATTCTTATATTCTTTGAGAGTTTAAGCGTGTAATATTGACCTCATTTCTTTTTTCTCTTTTTCTTTATTAAAATTTTTGATCAGTAAAATTGGCCTCATTGTCAATTCTGGATAGTTTATGATTATGTTACGACACTAGCAACAAGTTGTTTCTAACAAGCACAAGTTTGCAATAACTTGTAATTTTCTTATATTAAACTTCTTTTTATTTCTTTTCTTCGTCTTCTTTTTATCCATTTATATGTGTAGCCCGAGTGAACATGGAGAATATATGAATGAGAATAATAATCTTTTGGTGAATGAAGAACATAGGAATGAAGAAAATCTTAATGAACATGTAGATTTAATGAATGAAGATAGGAATGAGAATCAAAATGAAGAAAATGTGAATGAACTTGAAGATTTGATAAATGAAGAATATCTGAATGAGAATGATAATCTTCTTTTTACATTAATGATCCAGGAAATTGGAAAAATATTGATCAAGAAATGAGAGGTTTATTAATTATGCTAATGTCACATTAATTATACTAACGCTAATGTCAACTAATATGGTGCTACTCAGGATAATCAATGGATAAATGCTGGATGCACCTTAATGACAGGTTATTATAACTTTAAATAACCTTACTCATAGACATTGTTCTTGTCATTTTTGTGATAGTAAAAAATATTTTTATTAATTTTCAACTGTAGAGCTTCAGATGAGTATAAAGCTGGAGCACAACGTTTTGTTAATTGGGCTAAACTTAATGCGGGGAATCGAGAAAGCATTTTATGCCCTTGTATCCGTTGTAAAAATTCAATATATTAACGCTTCGATAAGGTGTATGAGTACATTGTGATAAAAGGAATGAATTCTGAGTACACTGTATGGGTCTTACATGGAGAGAATCGGAGTGCAACTTTAGAAAATGATGGTGATGATGGTGTGGAAATGATTCAGTGGATCCAGATTCTCTCATAGGTTCTGCTCCACTTGGTTCTGACTGCTGGAGAGTGTGGATCACTAATCTCATAGATTCAAGTGTGCCTTTATATAGGCCTGAAATTCGTGGCTTTGACTTGAAAGACGCATTTGTTACAGGATTTTCAATTGCATGACCTATCAAGCACATCAAAATTTGTAAGTGATGCATTTCTTTTATGATTACACATTTTTAATGCTTTTTATACTCATGCTCAAGGGGGTCACGTACCTTTAAGTGACCAATTTTGCGGTGTATAGGGGGTCACGTGCCTTTAAGTGACCAATTTTGTGGTGTATAGGGGGTCACGTGCCTTAAGTGACCATTTTTTTTTTTAATTAGTGTCTATCAAAATCAACACTTTAGTAGTTTAGTGGTTTTGAATATTTAGTGGGTTTGAATATTTAATAAAGCCTAGAATCCCACTATTTTGTGTCTTACCATTTAGACTTTGTTGTTTCAAAGCCTGTCCGAATTGACTTTTTCAATGTCTTAATTTTGATAGTGACAATAAAGCTTACCTACTTATTCATAATTCTTTCTCACTTTCAAATTTATACATCAACACAATTTCCAACTAATTTTTAATTTATCATCTAAAGGAGACCTTATGTCCATCAATTGATTAAGTCCCAAAATGCATGATTTAAAGTTGATTGCATATGAGTCAAAAAGTTTTTTTCAACCCTACACCTCAATGTCTAAGTGTGTGTGTGTGTATATATATATATATATATATATATATATATATCCTTCATGCCTCACTTTCAAATTTATGCCTCAAAACAGTTTATATATATAAATATTATTATTATTTTTTAATCTCATTTTATAATATTTCTCATGTAAATGAGACCTTATGTCAATTGATTAAGTGCCAAAATGATATTCATTTGAAATTGAATGCTTTTTTTACATGTATAACGTAGTCAACTTTGATACTGCACTTACTGGCTTTGCTTTCTCGTTGATCTCTGTTGTGTTTCCTCTCATGTCAAGAAATTGTTTAGTATCCTACTTTTTTCTGTAAAAGAAGGGCTAGTGACATGATTAGAGCATGAAAATTATTACATGCCCTAAAGTAAATACATAAGCGACAAATTCAATTTGTTTATTGCAACAAGCTGGTAAATGATCACCATTATGATCATGATATTGTCTCTCTTAAGCAAATAAACAAAGTGATTATTACAATTAGTTTGTAATTGTTAATTAAAGGCTAGGTTGAAACTACTAGAAAATTGATGGGATAAGCCTACCAGTCCTTGCTGCATCAACTACGTGGATGGATTTTTTGCATCTAACACCTTTTAGTAAACTGAAGTGTGTTCTTTTGAACTTCAGACTACTGTATTATACCAAGAGGGTTTTAGATGCTTTTCGGCAATTCCCTTCCTGAGGTGTCATTTTCATTGTATTTGATCAACTGCTTTCCCAATTTCCTTTTGGGAATTCATTCTATCGTCTTCTCTTGTGATTTTGAATGCTTTATCAAATAATGTACGAGTCCAATTTCATACTAAACTTTCGTAATTTGGACTTGATTCAAAAGTACTTGTACATGTTAATACTTGCTTTGGGATTATTTCCATGATACACTGAACGTGCTTTGTTTGAGTTAAGACCATAGGACTTGATTCAAAAGTACTTGTACATGTTAATACTTGCTTTGGGATTATTTCCATAATACACTGAACTTGCTTTGTTTGAGTTAAGACCATATTAATACTTGCTTTGCTTAAGTTAAGACGAAGAGTCTTTCAAAGTACCTTTATAATGCTTTACATTAATTCTCTTACTTCAACTATCTTTGTAGGTCAAAGCTAGGATTGCGGGTTGCAGTTACCTTTTTTGTTGCCGCTATATTTTTTGGATGGTTGATGAAGAAGAAGAAGTTGCAAGAAGATATGAAGAATTTTTGTTTTATTTTGGTTAAGTAAATATGTAAGGTGTGGATCATGTACATGGTTAATTTTTATATTTGTATATGGTTAATTTTTATATAAA